ATAATAACCTTGTTGAAAAACATTAGAATTGCTTACAGTACTGTTTTGACTATACGACAGTACAAGTAATGTTTATGTTATGGTAAGCTGTTAGCCGACAATCATATAACTAATTTAGCCATTAAAATTAATTAAATTTTTTATAATTTATATATTAATAATATGTATATATTAAAAATAAAAATACTAATAATAATTAGTTTACAAGACATACTTGGATACAAATRGACASTTCCCATAGTTAGCAATACAAACAATAAGACTAGTTTTACAAACATTTTAAAKAAWTTTATTATTATTTTTTGATAATGTATTTATTAATTATAYTATAASTTATCTTATTGAATAATATATTTAAAATAAAATTATTTATATTAAAAAATTTAAGTTTATTTAATAGTACATTATTAATACTGATGTATTAAATAACATTTACGTCAAAATAGGCTAAATATATTACATAATATTGTAATAATAACAGATTTTTAAGTTGTTTTTATAATATTGACGTTAAAAAATTAGATATTTTAACAAACATACACATACTTTATACACATATACAAACACACATAGCATATACACACACATAACTATACACATTATAAAAATAATATAAATATATTTTTTTTATTTATAAATTTATTTTAAAATTTATATATATATATATTGAAAATATTTTTTAAGTAAAACATATAACTATTTATTACATATAACAATATTTAATATTTTGAGTAAATATATCACTCATATCTTACATATTTTTAAAAAATATATATAAATAGTCAATATATTGTTAAAATTACAATAATTATAAAATCCTTATTACATTTTTAAAAATAAATAATATATTGTTTTCTAAAAAAATGTTTGAATTTAATATTATTATAATAATTTTTACTTCTAATTTATTTTCATAAAACAATAACAACTAATAACAATAAAACTACTTCTTATACTATTGTAATTATAATTTTTTAATTAATATTTATTTTATTTATAAAATAATTATTATATATTTTTTTTGCAAAAAATCTATTATCGGAAAAATATATCTATATATGCGGTGGTTGTGATGATAACGGAAAAACATTATCTGTTTATTATAAGTATAATTAATAAAATTACAATAATTTTATTATATTTTTAATAATTTAATTATTATTAAAATAATTTAGTTATTATTTAAATAATAAATAAATTGTTTAAATAATTTAATATTTAATTCTTATATTGTTTTTTTTATTTAAAAAAATACTTTTATATATTGAATACCATTGATCCGTATTTGGGTGTATAATATTTAAATATACAATGAATTATATTAACTTATAACTATTATATTATAGATATAAAATTTAGCTATTAAAAACAAAAATAAGTTAATTTTTTTAATAAATAAATTCATTGAATATTTAAATATTATACACCCAAATACGGATTAATTGTATTCAACAACATTTATGATTACTATAGAAAATATAAGAAAATTAATTATTATTATTACTTATTGTAAGTTAAAATAAAATTTTTGTTTCTATATATATATTTATTAAAAAAAAATCACTATTGTTGTCAAAAAACAATACTATAATTAATATATTTATTTATGTTTAGAATAAAAAAACTGTATAATATATATAAAACTATAATAAATATATAATTTAGTTATTATTAATTAAATGATTTTATATTAATTAAATAAAAAAGATTTAGAAATATTAAAATCATATGAATATTATTATCCAAATACTAATCAATGATATTCAACAACACCAATGAATATTGAAAGACAATATTTTCAATTTGATATCAATTGGTTAGTGGTTTATGTATGTTATCGGTGTGGCTATAATTGAAAATAATTTAATAATAAATTCAATGGGAAATTTTTGATACAAAAAAAATAGAATCGTATAGCAAATATGCAAACAATAAGGTTTTATGTATTTTCATACTATTAACTATAGATAAAATTTATTGGTGCGGTATGGGATGTTATATTAGGAAGTGGTTGGTTGGATCAGTTATGTTTTCTGTGATGGGTTAGCTTAAGTGTTGGGTAGATGATGGGTCATATTTGATAGATATGATACTACCTAACCTAACTTAATAATAATAATATTTAATACATTGTTGTACTGTAGGCACAAACAATTAGACTATATTTTATGTGTCCAATTTAATAAAAAAAAAATATTCATTAATTTTTCTAAAATACACATTAATTTTCTTATATAATTTTTAAATAAAATAATACTAATTAATATATAATAAATTCAACATGGCTACATTTTGGTTCGGGTATTATTTATGGACAAAACTATATGTTTGCAGCGGTTATGGTAATAGTAATGGGAAAACATGCAAAACATATGATTGGCGCAAATAAAAAACCAATGAATACCAATTGATTTTGAAAAATAATAATTTTTATTTTAAAAATTAATAGTTTAATTAATTTTTGTAAAAAATTATATTTTATATTTTTAGCATCAATGATAGATTATAGTACTAACTTTAAAACTCGGCTAAACTCTACTTTTATTGATAATTATAGTTAACTATTAATACATGTCAATCTATAGTCAATAGATTACATGTATTGATAGTTACAATATATTAAACAAATTAATTTTTTTATTTTATAATTACAAATAATGAAAAWTTATAGAATTAATAGGATATAAAAATATTTAGTAAAAGTAACCTTTTTTAACTAAATTTTTATGAGAAAAAAATAAAAMAATTAATTATAATTAAATTAAGTAATTTCAGTATTTTAATTTTATARTAKAGTAATATGTACAGTATAACTTAGATATAATTACAAAGTAACTTTGTATATTGATTGATGACACAGCGCTTAAATTTTATTATTCCCATCAAAAGTTTAAATAGTTTTAATTTTTATTATCAAAAATGCAGTTATTTATTAATAATAATTAAAWTACTTATAAATCAAGTATTTCTATAAAATAATAAAATATTTACATTTATATTAGTTATTAATTAATAWGATAACATTAAGGATGTATATAATATARAATATTGATAWATAWWATAATCTTAATTAGCACTTGAAAATCATATGTTATTTATTAGACTTTGTTTATAATAATAAAATACAATTAATTTAATATTRATTTTTATTAATAAATATTAAAAATATATATATTATTTATTTTAAAAAATAAAATTATTAAATAAAATTAACTTAAATAAAACTGTAAAATATGMAAATATAATTTTTTTTAATAATTYTTAAATTTTAATTTTAAATATACTGTTGTAATATACAATASTAATATATCTTATAAAATGATAAATAAAAATTATCWATATTTTTTTACTTAAATAAAATTTTTAATTAATTAACACTTGAAGTATKTTATTAGATATTTATATCTAAAAAAATTAAATATAAAGACAAAATATTTAGTTAAAATTGTAATAGTTATCAAATATTTACTTTGACATAAACTTATTATTATTAGTAAAAAAAATGCTTAAAATATATTTAATAWTTTTGTTAAGTTTTACCTCTAATGTGTTAACATTAAACACTAATATTATTATTTCAAATAATAAAAATAATAACACCTCTAATAGTATTGTAAGTAAAATTATTTATTAATATTTTTTTTATATAAAAAAAATATTTATTTATTTTTTATAAAAAATTAGTTGTCAGAAAATCTATCGGAAAAATTTATTTATTTATGCGGTGGTAATGATGGATCAAAACCGTTGTCTGAATGTTATAAATATAATAAACACTCAGATGTTTGGCAATCCATACAATCCATGTCTACTAAACGTTATTCATTTGGTTTGGTTTCAATTGATTCAAAATTGTATGCAATGAGAGGCTATAATGTAAATACAGTACTAGATAATATTTATATATACATTCTTGGACAAAACAATCTGTGAAAGGTTTGAGACATAATATCTTAAAAACTACTGGATCAATTTTGATACTGTTTAGTCGTAAATGTAGAGTATATAATCAAGATTTTATATAATTAATATTAATTTTTTAAAATTAGTAATTTAAAAGTTATAATAATATAAGTGAAAAGTTTTGTGTTTTTCATTAGCATCGTTACCAGCATTAAGGGTTGCTTCCATACATTTTGTCATTTTTTAACTAATTTTTAAAAATTACTTATATTATTTTTGAACAATTTTTGTAATTTTATATAAACTGATTATATACTCTACCTATACCATAAACAGTATCAAAATTGATCCAGTAGTTTTTAAGATATTATGTCTCAAACCTTTCACAGATTGTTTTGTCCAATACTGTATATATATAGGAATAAATAATTAAATTATAATATAATTTAGATATTTGTTTATAATAATTTTTTTTTGACAATTATTATCTTAAATCAATTGTAAAGTAGTAATAAATTTTAGAAATAACATAACATTTTATTGTACAACTCATATAGAAAAAACAACTTTTTTATTGTTAACATCTTTAGTAATTTTTAAAAAAATATATTCATTTTATATTATTTAGTATTTTTATATAAAAAAAATATATTAATTGTATTTACTTTAGACTATTTATGAAAAAACTGTTGAAACATACGATTTGYTAACAAATAAATGGAYTCGGGTTACATCAATGAATTTACCTAGATAGTAATTTTWAAAAAAAATCTTATACATTTATTTTGTAAATAATTAGTTATAAACTAAGTTAAACATAATTTTAAATATACTTTTTTTTATAGTGAATTTGGTTCAACTGTAATTAATAATACTATTTATGTTTGCGGTGGATATAATAGTAAATAAATAATTTTATTTTTATAATTCTAGTAATTTTGTATTAACTTAATAACAATCATATTTTTAATATATATATATATAAATTTTAGTTATTTACAAAATAAAAATTATTTAATTTAAATTCAGATTTAGATAAATATTTAAAATCATGTGAATATTATTTACCAAATACTGATGAGTGGTATTTTACAACAACCTATGGGTAGTGAAAGAAAAGGTTTAGAATTGGTATCAAATGATGGGTTTTTTATATGCTATCGGAGGCTATAATGGAAATAATGAAGATTTAAATTCAATGGAAATGTTTGATATAAAAACAAAACAATGGACTCGTAAAGCAAATATGCCATCAAAAAGGTTTATTATTATTATTATTATTATTATTTATACTATTAATTATTGAAAATAGTTATTCTAATAAATTAATTAAAAATTATTTATTTAATTTTCTTAAATGAACATTATTTTTTTTATTAAATTATTAATAGTATTTGTCTTTATAAATATATTTATATATAAAATTGATTTATTAGATTTTGGTTTAGTTCGGTATCATTTATGGGCAAAATATATGTTTGCGGCGGTGAAGGTAATAGTGATAGAAAATCATGCGAAACATATGATCCGCAAACAAACAAATGGACACCAATTGGTTTTAAATAATATTTTTTTTTTAAAATTATTTTAACAAAATTTATTATTTGTTTTTCATTTCAAAATTTTATTTAAATATATATTTTAAAGCATCAATGAATGATGAGAGAATTGAATTCAAAATGGTTGCTTTTGAAGACAATTTATATGCATTGGGTGGTTATATAAGTAATCAAATTATATATATAGTATATACAGTATATATTTAGTATATTTTTTAAAAAAAAATAATTTAATTAAGGAAATAAAGGTAACTCTGATTCGGTTGAAATATACGTTCATTATTCAGATAAATGGTTTTATTCGACATCATTGTCACAAAAAATGCGTGAATTTGGGGTATAAATATTAAATATTATTTTTTTTATTAATTAATTAATCTATTTTATTATTTCAAAATTTTTTCTCTAGGCTACTATTGTAAATTAATTTTTTCATATTTTTCCCGAATATTCCCATGTAAATTCTTTAAAATTCCCATAAGTTCCCGTATATATTTCCAGGAAAATAGGTAAAATTTCCAAAAATATAAAAAAAAACTTAAATTTTAATAAAAAATAAAATAATGAATTTAAATTTTAAAAATAATTGATAAAAGATTTAATGATACACTATGAGTTATTTTTAGTATTTTAATAATTTTTAAATTTTAACATAATTAATTTTTTAAATGATACTTAATGTTTATACTATGTTATATATTTTTATATTTTAAATGTTATTTTTATACAAATACTGATATATTTTTTAATTTTTTCTTTAAAATTTATTAATAAAAAACTTATAATATAAGTATTTATTGTTTTATTAACTTCATAAACTATCTTAAATTTATATTTAAATTGTAATATAATAACTCTTTCAAAGAAATTAATAATTTTTTAGTGTATTTTAATTAAATTTGTTATTTTTTTGATGAGTTTTAACGTTATTTTTAACTATTTTTAATTAATAATTTTTAATATATTAATTGCATTTACTTTAGAGTACAACTCTAAAAACTGTTGAAACATACGATTTCCATACAAATATATGGGATGGGGTTTCATCAATGAATTTACCTAGAAGGTAATTTTTAAAAATTTATAATTTAGTTGTATAATTAAGTAGATATTAATACTAATTATTTATTTTCTATTATTTGTTTAGTGATTTTGGTTCAGCTGTAGTTAATAATGCGATTTATGTTTGCTGTGGATATAATGGTAAATAAATAATTTTAGTATATTATCAAAAATAATTTAACTTTTTATACATCTATTGATTAATTTTATTGATTAACAAAATTATAAAAAATACTTAAATAATAATAATAACAAAAATTTATCTATAATACTTGATAGAACTATTATAAATATACAGTTTATATATACAAAAAAAAATTTAATTAGGCGTGGTTCACATACTACGTTTGCATTTTTAAAGAAATTTAGAACCCTCCCTTCTCTATGTTCGCAATTGCTCGCATGTAATAATTAAAAAAATTACGTTTGTATGTCCCTAACTGTTACCCCTTATCATAGATGCAGAGCATTTGACACGCATTGGCTCATATTAGTACTAAATATGTAAGGGTCAGTTTGTGAATTTTTATTTTGAAAAAATATATTGTTGAGATCTAAGTTTAAAATTATATTTTAAGTGGCATTTATAACATTAGACTATAAAATAGTTTTGTTACCATAACAATATAAATTTTTAAATTAAACTATGATTGGATTATGTCAATTGCTCCTCATGACTGCCCCTTATCAACACAAGAAATAAATTATCTAAATGCAAACGTTCTTAAAGTATTTACCCTTCCCTCCCTTGTTCTAACCCCCTCTCACCTCAAGTGCGAACGTAATATGTGAACCAAACCTTATAAAATTTATATTTATAGATGAAATATTAAAATCATGTGAATATTATTATTTAAAGGTTTTTATTATTATACATATTGTTTATTATTGATAATTGTAATTCTATACAAAAATAAAAAATTATTAATTTTATTAAAAAAAAACTTTCTTAATAATATTTGTCCATATATTTATAATATATTCTATACTGTATATAATATTAAATAGAATAGATTTTGGTTCGGTATCATTTATCGACAAAATATATGTTTGCAGCGGTGAGGGTAATACTGATGAAAAATCATGCGAAAAATATGATCCAAAAACAAACAAATGGACACCAATTGGTTTTGAATAATAATTTTAACAGTTTTTTGTTTTTCATTTCACAATTTTATTTAAATATAATTATAGCCTCAATGAATGATATGCGAACTGACTTTAAGATGGTTGCTTTTGACGACAATTTATATGTATTGGGTGGTTATATATGTAATCAAAAATTATATACAGTTTTTTTATATATTTATTTTAAAAATTATTTATTTTTTGTAAATTAATTTAATTAAGTTATAAAGGTCTCTTGGATTCGGTTGAAATATATGATCGTTATTCAGATAAATGGTTTTATACGACATCATTGCCACAAAAAATGAGATCATTTGCGGTATAAATAATGTTTTAATTTTTTGATTAATTAATTAATCTATTTTATTATTTTAAAAATTTTCACCAGGCTACTGTTGTAAATTAATTATTATTATTAAGAAAAACATATTAAACTATACTTGAATTTATTATTTTTTTGAAATAATTATATTAAATATACTATTTTAAAAAATTTTGTTACTACTAATTATTGCTATTATTATTATTGATTGTTAACTTATATCAAATATTTATCATAGTTTATCTWACAAACAATTGTTTTTATAATTACTATTTGTGTCAATAAAAAATAATATTAAAAWWWTTTTTATGTTTATTTATATAATAATTGAATAAATGATTGTCAATAGATTGAACAATTCATTTAATAATTAAATAATATTTATATTGAAATTYTAAACAAATTTAATAGTTTTTTTTATCGAATTTTGATCACAAAAATCAGAGATGTTTTAATTTTTAATTAGTTAATAAAATAAAAAAAATAAAAAATAACTTATTGTTTGTTTAAATAACTACAGAGATTACTGAATTTATAAAATATGATAATTAGAAAATAAAAATAAAATAATTCGAGTTTTTATAATTAATTTACATTTTATAAATTTTAAGAATATTTAATTAATAAAATCAAATATTAGTGATGAAAATAAAAACTCATGTCATCTAAACTATGACTATCAGACTACATATATATATTATTAGTTTTTTTTAATAAAATATATAAATATGAATCTGTAATCTTATTTTAACAGTATTTGTTACGTTAACATTGATTTTGTTAAAAAATAATACCATAAATTGCAAGAATTGCCATCCCTATACTGTTTAATTATTATTTTCATTATTTTATTTAATTATTTTAATCTGTCTGTCTGTCTGTCCCACGAGGACATAGGTTCGAATCCACGTTCAGCTACACATTTTTTGTGATTTTTTAAGTATTTTATTAGGAACATAGAGAAAATAGTGTCAAATCTTTTTTTGTTGATTTTTTTTCTTTTTTAAATTAAGGAATTCGTATGGAAATGCTTTTGAAGCATTCTCAACTAGTTTTTTAAAAAAAAAATTATTTGTCTATATATATATATATACTAGTATATTAATATATATAATATTCAATAGAAATGATTTTGGTTCAGTGTCATTTATGGGCAAAATATATGTTGCGGCGGTTGGGGTACTAATGATAAAAAATCATGCGAAACATATGATCCGCAAACAAATCAATGGACACCAATTGGTAAATTGAAAAATAATTAGAAAATTTAAAAATTTGTTATTGTTAACAGATTTTTGTTTAAAGATTAAAATTTTATTTATGATATAATTATAGCATCAATGAATGCTGAAAGATTTAGCTTTAAATTGTTTGCTTTGTTTAAATATAATATATTTATTTATTTATTAAAAATATATTTATTTATAAAAAATATATTTATTTATTTATAAATTATAGCATATATGAGTTTTTTAGTAATATTAATTTTTTTTCCTAAAAATACTTAATTTTTTATAAATAATATTTTATGGTAATTTACATAAATACATGACAAAACATATAAATTTCTAACTATATATATATATATATATTATTATTATTATTATTATTATTATTATTATTATTATTATTATTATTATTATTATTATTATTATTATTATTATTATTATTATTATTATTTTATAACATAAACACCAAAATTGATGCCTTAATTTAATTCACTATTATTTTTATTGCATAATATATACAGAATTTTTATAGAGAAATTATGTAATTTTTTTTAAAAAATACTAGTTTTTATAAATATCTATTAATATATGGATATATTATTGTGTAATATGTAATGTATTTTTTTCTAACCCTACTCTACCCTACACCCCACCCCTTCCATCAAATAAAAGGTTTGTCCACATTTCGGCAATGCTTGTCAACCAATTGGTCAAATTGTTTGGTCCGATTCGTAGCAAAAATGAATACGAGTCCCGATTTCTTGATGTAATTTTTGATTTTATTACTATATAGTAGACTGACCACCCAATTTATTAGTAAACCTGTATAATACAATTAAATATATGAATTTTATCTGCATTTTCCTGTATATTAAATATTAAATTCCTGTATGCTAAACTGTATTTAAATAAATATATATTCGTATATATTTATTAGAAAAATTAAGAAATTAAATTTAAATATTATTAGTGCATTAGCCCGTCACATTTACAATTAAATATCATGGTTTATTTAATTTTACAATTTCTCTGTCTTTCTTTCTCTCTCTCTCTCTCTCTCTCTTCTCTCTCTTTCTCTCTCTCTCTCTGTCTTTCTCTCACTCTCTGTCTTTCTCTCACTCTCTCTCTCTCTCTCACTATCTATCTATCTATCTATCTATCTATCTATCTATCTATCTATCTATCTATCTATCTATCTATCTATCTATCTATCTATCTATCTATCTATCTATCTATCTATCTATCTATCTATCTATCTATCTATCTATCTATCTATCTATCTATCTATCTATCTATCTATCTATCTATCTATCTATCTATCTATCTATCTATCTATCTATCTATCTATCTATCTATCTATCTATCTATCTATCTATCTATCTATCTATCTATCTATCTATCTATCTATCTATCTATCTATCTATCTATCTATCTATCTATCTATCTATCTATCTATCTATCTATCTATCTATCTATCTATCTATCTATCTATCTATCTATCTATCTATCTATCTATCTATCTATCTATCTATCTATCTATCTATCTATCTATCTATCTATCTATCTATCTATCTATCTATCTATCTATCTATCTATCTATCT